AAGCAGAAACGGATTATACTTAGAAAGGAAGGCCAACACTGGCGCACACGTCGTACAACATCCGTATGCCGTCAAGCCCGTACTCAAACAGTCAGCCAACCAATGAATTGATCTACGAATATGAACACAAGCATGTGTGAAGCGATCGGCATTCACCTGTACAAATCAAAAGTATGCTCTCAAAAGCGACTGGTTCAAGCTCTTCATCTGCCGTAGCCCCCAGTTGATCATCTTGAGCACCCTTACCGACCTTCCGATCAANCAAAATGAATCACACCCGAACATAGACACGTAGGGTTTATCCTTCATTTCTTTCCATCCATATGACATTTCGACCCAGCGTAAAAAGGTATCTCGCTAACAGTACGCCCCTATATAATCTGTGTTTTAGTGAGACAATGCATGTACTCTGGAATTTCAAGCCATGTGTATAAAACATTTTACCCCAGTACAATGTGCTCAGAAAGGCCTTATGCAATCTATCCATCTACAAAGGTTTCACGATCATACAACCCCACCCCCTACCAACACACGTTTTCACATATCAGCACCGATCTATAAGATTTGGGTCACAGAGACAATAACGTAACACATTAAAGATTTCCAATGTAAGATTTGAGAACACAACAGGAAATAGCGAACAAGCTTGTTTTCGATAACTTCCTCATCTGGCTAATACAGTTATATAAATAGGTATAAGGCATATCACACTTGCATAACGCTTGACCTCTGAAAAACGATGCACTGAAAACAACCATAGATAATCTACCTTTTTATTGTCGTTACGTGGATGACATCCTCTTCTTGACACACGAGAAAACCTCGTTGGAAATGCTATTGAGAAAATTCAATGAGGCGCACGCAGCTATTACTTTTACATCGGAAGTGGAATCAGGAGAAACCTTCCATTTTCTTGATGTGAATCTCAAACGATGTAGTGATGGTTATCTAAACAGAAGTGTTTATCGCAAGCCAACATGAACTGGGCAATATATCGCACTTCGCAAGCTTCGTACCACTGAAAAGGAAAAGGAACCTTGTCCGTTCCCTCGTGGCCCGTGCAAGATATATTTGCTCAGAAGAAATCTTACCACAAGAATTGGAGGATATAAAACTAACACTTGTATCCAATAGTTACCCGGAACGGTTCATTCAGGAAAACCTATCTGAGACACCGAAGGGACCTCCTATAACAACAGTGAATAAGAAAGACTTATACATGCGACTCCCTTACAAAAGAGAGCACATAAATGAGCTAATCATCCGACGCTTGGGAAGAGCATTTGCACGCACATTTCCTGCAGCACGTTTACGCCTTCAGTTCACCTGTCGACCAATTATTTCCATGAATCTCAAAGATAAACGACCTATTTCTACCTTTTCTATGATTGCCTACTTATTTGTTTGCTCATGTTCGGCAAGCTACATAGGTAGAACCATCAGGCAGTTCTCCCAGAGAATCAAGGAACATAAACCAGCCTNAAGAAAAACCATGACTAGTGCCATTGTCGAACAACTCACCAATAGGGGACATACTGTGAACGAAGACGCTTTCAAGGTGATCTACCGAGTTCCTCCTTATCCATCTAAGACTGTTCGCCAACAACATCTGGCAACAGCCGAGGCACCAGCCATCCGTCTGTTTAACCCATCGCTTTGTCCCCAAAAGCGATTCGTCGAAGCACTTCAACTGTCGTGGCCACGGAGTGAATTCATTTGCATGGCTGGAGTTGACTCTTTCCATGACCTGTTGACCCTTGCGATTGACCCCGTACCCGAAACCGGTGATGGTTAACCTTGACTCGGTCCTAATCCCTTTTGTGACACATTCCTTTCCCATCCACCCACCACTCCACTTTTGTTTGTAAACTACACATGAACAACAAATTATATCTACCAATTCAATCCACACGCACACAAAGAGGTCAAATTTCCCCAAACACCGATGTTCTTATTCACTGTGAAATGAGACATTGCTGTCATCAGTTTGACACGCTTTGCGTGACAAATATAGTATACCCGTTTCTGCATTTCTTTTACACTTTGCTTCCAACGAAGCCGCATTGCGTCGCTAACCGCTTGCCTTGTTTCAAACCGAAACCGGGTGATTTATGCTAATGAGAGCGGGAAAGACAAACTTAGAACTTACAAAAGCATAAAATTTCCCGTTCGAATGTACATAGGCAGGGAATATTAGAAGAAAAAAAAACAGATGACCTAGCCGCTCGGCTTACCATTTTAGTCTGCGGAACCCGGCAGGTGAAAGCGTACGAGAATCGGGATCTTGTGAAGCGAACGGGTTATACCAAAGGCCAATGAGTCCATGCGACATTCATCGGCTTTGTCCAGCATCCAGTAGCAAATGCGTCGTCTTGATATCGAAAAAAACGTCCAATGAAACGCCAACGAAGATTCATGGATGCAGTTTTAAAGTTATAGCAATACATCAGAAACAACAGTTATAATGAATAACGAGGGTCACAAAATTAGGAAAACAAGAAAACAGTCGATATAATATTTACTCTGTTGATACCAATTAAACCGACCTAATGAGTAAAATCAGTGCTAGGGCAATAATAATACAACAAAGACGTTTCATTAAATGCAGGAACCCAACTGGCAAATTGAGCTAATTTTGAAGACAATAAAACTGCGAGATACAGTCATGGTTCAACACAATGCAGATTCTGTCCCTTGCGCATACACTGTAAAACATAATTCCATTAGATGCAGCTCAAGTCGTGGGAAGTCTGCAGTCAAGATCTAAAACCGATGGATAAACTTCCACGCCAGGTTTTCAAGGATTCTATATTTCCTAAGCAAAGCGTGAATCACGGTAAGCAGGAATGTGCAAATGCAGCCCGCAATCTAGGCTTAGACTTATGTATTCGCAGTTCGTTACAATACAATACCACAAACTTAAAATGAGTAAGGAAATGGGAATAATTGTGAATTGAATTCTAACCTGGGTGGTAAGTGTGTGTATGTAAGATTCTTTGAATCAGAATAAAAGTCTCCATTAGGGTGGATACTTTCGAGTGTCGGTAAAGGAACAGTCTACTTTTATCTTCCCACAGTGATTGGACCCAATTAATTGGCTAGAAGTTTATAAACGATGATATATCAACAAACAAACCTGAATGTGAACTTTTGGTTACCCCCGATGTGAGTTGGTTCCTACAGCATCACGTAAGAAAGCCCAGCTCGGAGCTCCTGCATTCCGAATGTATGATGTATGGACTGATGATTGTACGAGATGACACAGTGTGTAGGATAGTCAGTCCAACTCAAGACAGTAACGATCTTCCAAGGAGTGAATCATACACTCAAGATCATCAACAGTTCTAGGTGCCTGTGAACAATCGAATGGACTATTCCAAATTTAAAACTCTTATTTGCTTAAACCGTTCGCACAAGGTGATGACCATCGACCGTGAAGCTCAGGCGTAAGGATTTCATGTTCCAACCCAAATGTTTGCGTTTAGAGTCCTGACAGGGACACAAAAGTATACACTGCTGACGAGTCCCAAACCGAAAGAAACAGCTGTTCAGTGCTCTTTATCGGTCATCACAAATCATTTTATAGCCTAATAAAAGGTTTTGTTGAAACTATGATGACAGGAAATTGCTAAATATTCACCACTCGAATTGCATTAAACTATTCCTTGCGTTGACTTGCCTTTATATCTCGAAGTGTTCGAACAGGATAGGAAGTGCATTATAAGAAGCACTTTGCATTTGGGGGTCTTCTGAATCATTGAACTCCCCTCCCCACTTATATCCATTTTTGCTCCAAGTATAGTGTGGCATGTAGATATTTGAAAAACAACCCGCAGACGTAAGTATACATATGTCTATATCCCACATTATAAATATGTGTGAAATGACTAAATGTGACCGGATACGAACGCCTGATTAGCGGAAAAAATAGCAAAACCGGTGCTGTGCTTCAAAGCAGATATGTAAGTATATATCATATTAAGTAATATATGAATTGCTAAACAAAATTTCCCTGGAAGCACACCACCGGTTTAGCAGTTCTTGGCGCACGTCAGGCGTACGCTTTCAGTATTATTTTGTGTGAGTTAATTCGTATATAAAAATTTACCAACATCGTAGCGGCACATCGGTATGTGTGTGTGTAAACAGGATTTGCTCCCGCCCCCTACGTAATCCTTTATTGCAATTATTCCATTTTTATTACATCAGAGTTTAAAAGAGTTCAGCCATGTTTTCCAGCATTCGATTGGTTCTATTTTAGTTGGTTATATTTAGCATCTTAAACTAAACTGTAGACGGCAAAATATCTCATCCGCTTTTGTGGTTGATTATTATAACGTAGGCTGAGTTATACTGGTTAATTTGCGTCTAACTGATGAGAAGACGTTTGGACGTGCACAAAAGTAGATGTACTCGTAAATGACAATTTATCACAAAACATATGA